CTGCTCAGATCCTTCTGGGGGAGGGGCAGCAGCGATCGCACCAGCCAGAGCTCTTCACGAACAGAGCCCCACATCCGAGAAGTCGTGGGAAGGCCGGCGGCCATGCACGGGTACACGGCGCTCAGCACACATAACAACTCACGACGTATAAGACAGGCCCATGTGATGTGGCCGACCAGCAGCTCCAGCATCTTGCTCGAGCAGCAGCCCCGACGCAGCACGGTGTCGAGCGCCGCCCGCAGCCGCCACAAGTTGCGGCGCTTGACCGAGAGCCAGCGGCCCTGACGGAGCTCCAGCCCCACCAGCACGGCGTCCGTGGTGGCGTCCGTCTCCTCGTGGACGGCCAGGCCCCAGCTCCGGAGGACGGCGGACACGTCGTCGCGGCGGCGCGTGACCAGCGACTGGTCGTGGCCGAAGACGTAAAAGTTGTCCACGTAGCCAGCGGCGGCGGTGGCGATGGGGGTGAGCAAGGGCACGCTCGCCCGGCCGTCCCCCACGATCTGGGAGTCCGAAAAGCCCGCCACCGAGACCGCCCGCATGGTCACGGCCTGGCAGAAGTGCATCGCCCACGACCACTCCATGGGCAGTATGGTGAATCCAAATAACCTTCCTAAACCATCACTCAGATAGGTTGTTTGCACGGTTTTCGCAAGACTCCGATGTAAGACCTTCCTAACACGTTAACGTTCCTCAGAAGGATGTTTTGGAAGGTTGTTGCAGGATGCATCATGGAAACATTCCTCAAACCTGTCTCCAGAAGGTAGTTTGAAAAGGTTGGTGGGTGATTCCTCCTGGAAACTTCCTACGATAAGGTTATTGGAAGGTTTTTTAAATCCTACAAACCTTCCTAAAACCTTGCAAAAACTCCGGGAGATGTTTGAAGGTTCTTGTAAGATTCCTTCTGAAAACCTCCATGCAAACTTCCGGAGGGTTTCTCCTAAACACCCCCCAAAAACCTTCCTCAGGAAGGTTTGTTGGAAGGTTTTGAAAACAACTCCTCGGGAAGGTAATGTAAGGCTTTTGGGGGATTCCTCCTGAAAGCCTTCCTAAAACCTTCCTCCAAAAGGTGTGTTGGAAGGTTGTTGGAATATTCCTATTAAAAACCTTCCTGCCTTCCTCTTGGAAAATGCTCAGAGGATTCCTCCTGAAAACCTTCCTGAACACCTTTCGCCGGAAGGTAGCTTTGGAAGGTTGGAGGATTCCTCCAAAAAACCTTTCTAAAACCTTCCTCAGGAAGGTTTTGGGGGGAAGGTGTTTGGAATCAGAAATCCTTCATCGGGCAGGTTAATTGGAAGGTGTTTGGGCGAATCCTCTAATAGACCCTCCTAAAACCTTGCTCACGAAGGTTTGTTGTAAGGCTGTTGGAGGATTCCTCCTGAAAGACTTCCTAAAACCTTCCTCGGGGAGGTAGTTTGGACGGTTTGGGGAGGATTCCTCCTAAACACCTTCTTACACGAAAGTCTTTGGAAGGTTTCTGGAATCCTAAAACCCTTCCTAAAACCTTCCTCCGGAAGGTTTCAGGAGGGGGTGGCCGAACTGCCGCACCCAACTGGTTGAGTTGGTGGAAGCTGAAGGTCGGTAGGTAGATGTGGAGAGTCGGATGCTGCAGGCTGAGGGGCTGCGCGTTGAGCTGGTGAAAGCTGGAAGTCGATAGATGAAGCTGGAAGGGGGACACCGGGATACTCGAGATTGGTAGCTGGAGGTGGAAGCTAGATGGCGGAAACTTGGATCTGAAAGTCGGAGAGTTGAGCAAATTGTGGAGGCTAGAGTCAGGTCGGAAGCTGGAAGCTGAAAGTCGGACAGGTGGGGTTAGAGGTCAAATGAATGAAGTCGGAAGGTGGATGTGAGCAATTGGAAGTCAATAGCTGCTGGTTTATGTGGGAAATGTGTTACTGCGGTACGGGTGGGGTCGGAGCTCTGGACGTTGAGGTTGATAGCTGGAGCATGAGGTGGTGGGAGGCGGAGGTCGATAGTTGGAGTTGGACGGTGTGGGTCGGATGGTGGTAGCTGGGTGAAGTGGATTGTAAAAGTTTGATGCTGCTGGAATCTGGAACTCAGAGTCTTAAAGGCAGGTCGATAATTGGAGGTGAACGCTCAGGGTCGGATGGTGGGGACTGGAGGTCGTGAGGTGGAGGTGTATTGTGAATGTGTGATACTGCTGGAAGCTGGAGGTTGGAGCGTTTTAGGTTGGGCGCAATAGTTGTAGCTAAAAGTAATGAAAGTGGAGGTCGATGGGTGGAGGTCGAAATTGGATGTCGGAGTTGGGAACTGGAGTCGAGGGGGCAAAAATCTGTCTTGAAGCTGGCAAAGCTGCTGTATCGGCGAGTGGTGAAACACAAGAGGGGCGGGTGAAATCTGTGGTGAAGTCCTGTCCTGGGCCGCCCCTGATGGCAATAGCTCCTTTAGGAAAGACGCCCCCGAGTAGTTGAAACGTGTTTCGTCAGTTGACCGCGGGTCGTGGCCAAGGTGGTGGGAGGGGTGAGGGAGCGGCAGATCTGGCGTTTGCGATTGGCCCCGAGATGTCCGTAATTGAATCGTGCTGTCGGCGTAGGAGTCGCGGTGGCTGCAGCCGCGAAATGCCTGACGTAACAAAAGTGATGTGTGATGTATACAATTACCACACATACAAATTCATGGCGTAGAAATGAACCAGTTTGGCTGTGCACAAGGGTAGCTTTGCCCAAACTGATGTCCATCATAACGGTTCCAAAATTGAAAGATAGGCCGGCACAGTGGTGTTCGGCCGCGGATCCTTTTGCCGTGCCCTTCATGCCAGTAGAAGTGCGATGTAAGAGGTCGTTGCATTTCTTGCTGCGCCCTTTGAATGTTCGATGGTTCTGAAGATCTTCCCAGGTTTCCCACGACCCAAAAATTGAGGTCCAACGCATTGATCGTCGTGGATACTTTCACGACAATTTGCCCATCGACTTTTACGATGAAGAGCAAGTCGTCCGTCACTTTACTCGACGTGTATTGGATGTCCATCTCTCCGTTCAGTAAGCACTCTGATACAAAGCAAGAGTTCCGTACAGCACGCAAAGTCGGGTGCTTGTCCTGAGTAATTCGTAGTTTCGTATCGACGTGTTGACTCCAGAATTTCAGACTATTGCCCTCGTCCTGAACCCTAACGAAAAACATGTCGCGGAACTCTCCCTTGAAACAGATGTCCGAGGCGATTGGGGCGCTAATCTCACGATGTTGCTCCGAAATCCATTCCGAAGCAGCGTCGCTGGAAGCGAAGCCGACCAACTTACCAATAACTGCAATGAGGTCCCTGTCTGAACCTCCTGTCATACTTCCACCAACGTTTGTGTGTGTTACCTGGCGTGCGTATACACAATGCTTTAACTTGTCGTGCAGAGTTCTGTAGCTTTCTTTCTACCCTTGAGGGAGGTGTCCGAGGTACCCGCAGCTGATTATACAGATGGTGGCTGTGAGCATTGCGACTCCAAAAGTTCCAGTCGAGCTTTCATGTGGTCGACCTCAGTTCTGACAGGTCCAGCGGCTTTGTGCAGGTCTTGACGAGGAACCCCGACGTCTTTGATCAAAGCGATGCTACCTTGGACCAGGGCGAGCTCGGTCTTAATCAGCTTGCCGATCTGGTCTAAGATCGGGGGTGAACCGATTGACTCGTTCAAGTCCGTGTCGAAGCGTTTCTGGCGACGTTTGGTGGTGTCGTCATCGTCCATTGCGTTCAACACGCTCTTTGCAGGGCTGCGGGTTCTTTCGACTTTTGCCCAAGGCGATCTGATGTTGTAAGCCTCTGGCATGCCGATGCAGATTTTTTAATGCAGGTATGTAATAAATTAACACTGAAATGAAGTCTGCGGAGTAGTGAAATGGGATGGCTGGCTTTGGATGCTCAGGTTGAGCACGGGGCATTGGAAAGGGAAGGGGAGAGGAGGGCAAGCGAGAATAACGGCTGAGGAAATGAAGGGAATGCATTGAGAGTGGGAGGGGAAGGGAGATGGGGGGAGGGAGGGAGAGTCCGTAACCTTTGAGCATTAAGTTCTTGGTCCCAATCTAGAGACTGGCGAAACCCCTTGAATGTCAGGACAGCAAATCACCTGAAGACAAAGTCGTTATCCGTACGGATCCAAACTCTTGCGGGCCCCAGGACACCCGTGTGGGGTGTAATAACTACGACCGGGCACGAGCGAATTGAACCCGCGCTGGTAAACCCTTACTGGTGCAAACCAATAAATGGTATGGATAGTCAGGGCTCGGAATTCGTCATGGAGAGTGGGAGGAGGTGGACGACAAGGAGGTCCAATCCCGCAATCCCCGCCAGCGGAAAAGCAGTGATCTTCTGGCCGACGGGTAATTCTCGGGAGGTGCCCCCTTCGATCGACCGTAAAACACGATCTCGCTTGGCACTGGTAGGGCCCTGGTAGGGTCCAGGCAGGTTTCGCAGCTGAGAACACTGCCGACGCTTAGGCGAGAGCACAATTCCGATCTGTGAGCGAGGTCTCCACCTAATGCCTCACCCGAGATAGCCCCAAGCGGACCCAGACATCCCAAGATAGATAGCAGATCATGGCTCTAGATGGCCTCCAACATGTCTCCAAGAGTCCCCAAGACCGTCCCAAGACGGCTCCAAGTGAGCCACGGAGCTCCCCAAGGACGCCCCCTCGAGGCCAAAATCTGCCGAAGACATTAGGACATCAATGCTGTTTGCATTATCGTAGTTTCGCTTCCGATGGGTTTCTGATTTGTCGAGATAGCCCCCAAGAGATCCCCAAGAGGAGCTCTCGAGGCCCCCAAGACGGCCCGAAGAGCTCCTACAAGGCTCCCAAGAGCGCTCCAAGAAGGCCCCGAGAGGCAAATTATCGGTCTCAAAGGGGTGACCCGAATTGAAGCCGCCCTCTTCTTTCCGCCGTTTGCCCAAGATCGCCCCAAGAAGACTTCAAGATCGCCCCAGAGAGCCTCAAGACCGTCCAAAGGAGCCTAGGATTCGGTGTTTCGCGGATCCTTCGTAAAAGCTGGTCCATTGCATGTGTCTCCACCTCACTGATCAGGGCAACTCGCCTGGCGATTGCTTCTGGATGCGCTGGTGGGGATACGTGAGAAACGTCAACGCTTTGGCCAAGACTTTCACGTGAGAAGCCTCCCGCCACTTCATTCAGTCATCCACAGCACAATCCCAACTCAACAACTTGAACCGTCTTGATTATGCCGCGATCTGGTAAATGTACCGCAGCAAGCCCATGACATTTTTGAGGCACGCTGCACCAGCTCGTTGACGACGCACGCGCCCCCTAGCTACCGCAAAGAAAGACGGAAGGATGGAGACGGTGTGGTGCAGAGAAGGGGAGCAAGTGAGGTCATATTCTGGAATCGATCCCAACCCCTCTTCGATGGATTTCCCTGTTTCGATCATGCGATTGGGAGCAACACAGTTGGTTGAGATGTGTAAAACCTCAAGCGACTGATTGAACTTTAGTGCCGTGGACAAGTGCCAGACATACATATATATACATACATACATACATACATACATACATACATACATACATACATACATACATACATACATACATACATACATACATACATACATACATACATACACACATACACACACATACATACATACATACATACATACATACATACATACATACATACATACATACATACATACATACATACATACATACATATAGATGTGTTTGTCTGCATGTACGCATGCAAATGCAAGTAACGCGTGCATACCCGGTCTCACACGAATCGAGCGGGGGGATGTAAGCACGCACGTTGGGAATATGATACGGAAGATGATACGCTCAAAATGGGGCGTGCCAAACCGCTTAGCAGTCGATGTGTCTGCGAATGAGATATGCAACGATGTCGAACAAATCGGACTGAGCACAATGTGTTAGCGGATACTGTAAACAAGTGTGTTGGACGAACATCCCTAAAGCAGGTGGCCAACAAGTTGGCTTGCGATAAGTAGGGACGGGTCGATAGCAAAACATGGTTTGGCACGTAGGTTTGGCAAACGCACCACCAAACATCATGCATGCATATAAAGAAGCATGTGAACAACAAGGCTTGACTCGTAAAAATATGCAAACTCACTGGAAATCCACTGTCCCCTTGAAGACGGTGCCGTCGCGATCTGCGTGAGGTGTACGTATGATTTCCATACCTATGATGACCTCCCATGTGCAGTGGACTGAACAATCCGAAGACGCGCGCATGTCGAGTGAGGAGCGCCCGAGCGGACTTACTCTTTCCCTGCACGTGCGTGCGGGGTCTCGGCCCAGAGGCGGGTGCGCTGTGCGGGCGCGCTGCGCGAGCGCGCTTTTAGGGCACAATGCGAACTCTTATCTGCAATTGCGGGGAATACGTATATACACGCACATACATACATGGGTGTATGAGCAAGCATAAACATACACATGTACATGTGAATATGTTTATACATACATCTCTGCTGCTGTCCCCAGGCACGAAGTGGAGTGTCCCTTCGAATTCTCTGCGTTGGGGCTCACAGCCCCAAATTCCCTGCGCTCCTGGGGCTTCCTGCGCGTCCTCGCGTGATTTTTCCAAGGGTAAGAAGGCCCAAAAACCAACAAACAGGGCCCCAAGACGCCCCCCAGCCGGTCCAAGAGGGCCCCGAGTTGTTGAAGATCGCTCCAAAACGCCAGAGATGGCCTCGAGACAACATTAGAGGGCCCCAAGAGGCTCCAAGAGAGCCCCAAGAGCACCCCCAAGAAGGTCCCAAGAGGCTGAAATCACTGATTCACCAGAAATTTCCTGAACGATGTTGGGGTTCTCGCTTCTTTGAAGTTCCTCCGTTCCAAGACGACACAAGTGGCCCCCACTATCGCCCCAGGACGGCACAAGAGACCCCCAAAAGAGGCCCAAGGCTGCCAAAGAAGGCCCGAAGAAGGCCCAAGAGGCCCCCAAGACGACCCCAGAGGGCCCCAAGAGGGAGTAACACCAGCTGATCGCGAGCGAATACCTAAAGTGTGCTTCGCATTCTGTCAGTAGGTAGGTGTGGGAGCGAGACAGCAGCAGGAGGAACACGAGCAGGAGCAAGAACTCAAGAACGAGAAGTCTAATACTCAGGAAGAGGAATAGCAGCAGGAAGAGAAGCAGCACCGAGACAAGCAGGAAGATCCCAGCCCCTCAGCACATCTGCCAGACGCCATCAGTGCCAGTGACCGGCCTGCAATGCCTCCACTCCACGGGGAGACGCAGCAATAAGCGTTCGGGCGAGAGCTGCAGGAGCGAAAGGTTGACACATATGGCCTTAACTCCCATCCTCCCCCTCACCCTTTCCCGCTCATGTGTTCATGTACCTCCTCATCCTGCTCATTAGGCTCATGCCTTTCCTCATCTTCTGCCCCTCGATCCTCGTCCGTCTCTTAATCATGTTCCTGCCCATGCTCGTGCTCCTGGCCAATTGGTTTGTTTTCCACCTCGTCAATTTCCACCTCACCACATCACCATATCCAGTCCCACCTCTGTGTCATCCTCATTGGTCCCCTC